TATATACCCGCTAAATAATTAAGTCAATCTGGCAACGCCATCCTCTTTGATTTTGAAATGATTTTTTGATTCATCTAGTCCCTTATTTATCAGTTCGTTGCGAAATTGCGACAAAAGTCAAGTTACGTAATTTTGGAGACAAACGAGAGTGTTGCTCTCCTTGGCTGACGTCAGTCTAGCAGCGCCACAGCTAGAAATACCTATTTATAATAAATTCAAAAGAGCTTTCCCGGCTCACCTTGGCACCCCCATAGCTACGCCTATGGTCAAATTCTATCTGCGGATAGCAAACTTTCCTGATGGTCTTATCATAGCAAACACACATTTATACCAAACCACAATTCTGCCAATCACGTTCGACTTTTATTATTTAGTCAACTTTAATTTAAATCAGAAAAAAACAACAACCAAAACCATTGATTAAATAGACGTATCTATTTTTTCTAATATTACCTATCGTACTTACTTTAATTTTATTTTATTTGTTTGGAATCACATTAATACGATTGAGTTTGATGGTTGTTCCTTTTTGCAATTTTGTGTGTGTGCATAGTGGTGCAACTTAAAAACAGTAAAATTTAGCAATTAAACAGAAAACAAAGGCATCAAATTGAAAACAGTCTACTGTTAAAACAGTAGGGTTGATAACACTGGATGTATGCACGGCCGCATGAAGTCGCGGGAAAATAGTATAGCTAGTATATTATTAAATCTGTACATTTATTTATACAAGGTATTTGATATTATTGATAATTTCAACATCCTATTCATCACTCCGATAGCCGTGATCGTCTAGTGGTTAGGACCCTACGTTGTGGCCGTAGTAACCCAGGTTCGAATCCTGGTCACGGCAGTGTTAATTCACTGTTACGGCGGAGTTCTTTTTTAGTTTTCCTTTTTAAAATTTTGTTTTATGTTTGTTATTGTCGACTTCTTCTTTAAATGATATAAATATTTTTAGGATTTATTTGCCATAACAATATTATTAACTAATTTTACTACTGTAAATAAAGTAAGTTGTTTTCTGTATCCTTTTTATTATCAAAATGTTTTTTTACAATATTTATCGAAAAAACTTTGTTTTTGTCAAGTATCGAAAAAATTTTTTGGTGCCTATAGGAATTGCAGATATATTAACTTAGATCAGCGACATCTATACAAAAAATACTTCAACGATGGTGTGGTTAGCTGGGGAGCAGCTGTGCTTTAACTTTCGTTCGTAGATAGTTCCCACAGTTTACTTGGCTGAACGCTCGATAGATGGTGGTAGCTGTTTTGTTTTGGTACAATAACCACGCACCGCAGCTGTTCGCTATCACAGAAATACGTGAGAGAAAAGGAGTGGTGATTAGGCCTGTCTTTGCCAAAAATTAAGTTTTTTATATGGTTCACGGACGTTTTACGTATTGTGCTCTTACAACATGCTAGTTAGAATGGTGCTACATGTGACATATTGTTTGTAGTCTTCAAAAACAACGTTAATTGGTGCATATTCGCGATGTAAACGTTGGTTATGACGTTTACTACGGTGTTTTTGTGTGTGTGAGTGAGTCGCGACAGCATTGGCGCTGCCGCGTTGAAGCGAATCTTGTAACGGAATACTGTGAATGGTTTTGGTAAGTTACAGAATTATTGTTTTGTTACAATAACTGATTGATATGATGGATATTATATTATGAGCGAAGCATTATTATTATAATAACGTACTGTGTTTGACCTCGTTACAATTGTGCATGCATAATGTACTTCTTTAGTAGGTACTATATTACTCTTGAGTTTTTATGCGCTTTAATTTTTGTTCTTTAAAAATAAGTGTCAATATTTAATCCGTATAACATTTAACTCAACGATTGATTAAAATCATTTGATTAATTGTTCAAATGTTGGTATCCTTGGTGTTTCTTATGCTGTAAGTTGTAAGGTTGAAAAAGATTAACCTTGTTATGAGTTTCTTCATGATGCACGTGCTATGGGATTGAAAATGGTACTATAGATAGGTAGGCAGGTACTTACCTATCTATTGTAGAAGACAAATTTGAAGAAAAAACTAACAGTCAGTGATTAAGTATGAATTTAGGAACCTACTTAATCGTATCGGTTCTGTCTGCCTAAAGCCATTGAACCGAAATTGTCTACGATAATAATATCATTCGTCTACGAGTTATCCCATAGACCACCTGCATACGGACTTTTTTGTCGGTGACTAAACCGGTCTCTAATCGATTCGATAGACAGATGCTAAAATCTAACATGTTTACGAAACATTGATGTTACATTTCAATATTGAACGTTATTATTCGTGTCTTTTAGGTGTTACTTGAATGGAACTATTGTCTATCTTATCCTACCTACCTGTAAATGAGGTTATATTAATAATAATAAATTGTTTTCAGACAAAGTCCATAGATTTGTTAGTAAACGAGAACTTTAAAAACTATGTTAGTATATCTGGTAGCTCTTATTTCTTAAAAGATAATTGGGTCATGTGTACCATCACCCAATGCTTCAAAATCGGACCGTTATTAATATAAATTTAATGATTTTGTGAAACCGTCATTAATACGTTAATGAATAATGCCCGTTATAGAACGTAGCCGGAAATTGGAATGCTGTTCTGCTTTCGTAATTCTGTAGGTCCATAGCTGAATTTTATAGATTTAATTTAAGAGGGGGCGTAAAGCTAAGATTGTCTTTGTCCATCTCATTGCCGGCTATAATAAATAGGGACAGGATGTCGGAATACGCGGCAAAAACGGTTTTTAAGCTTCCATGCCCTAAGGGTAAGATGGGATCTTATTGTACTGTGCTATTACTAATACTTCGCTCTGCGCCCGCTTGTCTTCAGGCTGTCCGTCTGTCTCATGAACCGTAAAAGTCAGACAGTTGAAACTAAAAATAGAATTTAATGAACTAGCTGTTTTAACGCGACTTCACACGCGGAAATTATAGCCCATGTCAACCGCGTATGATGTGGGTAGGGTAAAATACCCAGTAGTCAGTCTTTTAATGTGAATATTAATTCAACTATATTTAAAAAAATAAGGGCTTTAAATAAAAACAGTTATTTTTATGAGAAAGTTTGTTTATTATAATTTCTAAAGAGATCAACAAAATAATTAATGGTCGGCTGTTAGAATCAAAAGTCCATTAGTCGGCCATCAACATGCAGTCACTTTTATACACGCCCGACTACTAGTAAATTTAACTTATTTTTATCTAAGGTATTATTCAATGCAAAGCAAAGCAAATATGAACTACTATAATACTATACGAATTTCAACGAAATTGAAGAAAATCCTAATAAAACCAATAGTGGACCGCTTCAGGCCGAGCACTGGATCAACCCTAAAAAATTGAAATCCAGTAGTCGGCTTTTTGATTTATAATGAAATAATCAAAATTAAATTACAACCAAACATTTTATAATAATATAACATAAAAATATACCAGAATTCACAGCAAACTTATGACAAAACTTAACTTTTGAACACTTATCTTTATGAAAAAAATTTGAATGGTGACGCTTTCGGTCATGTCGTTGGCGGCAGTGAAAATGAACGAATACAGCTTATCAACCGGTCATCCTTTTGATTCGAAGGTGTGCATATTAACTAATAAGGGAGCATAGATTGGATCAGACGTCATTTCAATGGTATGTATAACACTAAGTGTGAACTATTTAAATGAGTATATAGACTGTAAAGGCCGACTACTCGGGCGGGGCCGACTTCTGAGTATTTTACCCTTGCTACCCGTAGGTGAAAAAGAATTTTGTAAATAGGTCCAGTCGTTTCCGGGCCTATACGATACAAACAATCAAATCTTATATATTAGTATAGATATAAGATTTTTTTGAGGTTTTCATAGGAATAAAATATCTGAGATTCGTATAATCAATCAGTTTTATTCTGTATATTTTTATACAAAAAATGGAAACAATAGAATTTCTTTACTAAATGACGTGAATTAGGACACACGAGTGAATTCGAATTCGGGTTCGGATTTTTACAGAATCGCCCTGCTGATCCGGGGGATTATCAATATATGCATCTTCATTTGATTATTAGAAGATATTAAACAACTCACGACACAAAGATTTTGAATGTTATTATTTCAGTTAGTATTAACATATTATGTTTCAATTGACTTTACTTGATATTTTGATATATCTTTAAGTTTTTGCGATATGAATTAAACTAAACTTCCTATAAGATCCACTACTGAAGGTCACGTGATAGGTTAAAAGATGTTTCGTTTCAGTGACTAATATTTTCTGTCTCTAATCCTTTTATTTGCTCAAAAATAACAGCCATATTACCATCCTCCTGACATTGACCACAATCCTAGATTTTAATCAAAACTGTGTCTTTATCTCACGATATGTATCTATCTACCTCGAGTTAACCTTGAATGTGAAAAGGTCAAATTAATTTTTTACGACTCATTGGCAGGGGAAGTGAGGTGTGGGCAGCATTGTGGACTACCGTGCCAAATTGCTGATGGTCTTGTTAGTCGTACATACTCGGTAACCTGTGTAATAACTACTGCTACCTATAATTCTATTCGCACACAGAAATATTTTTTATTTTGTGTAAATTTCCATAATTCCCGTGCTGTTGTTAGAATTTCAACTGTCAATTCAAATTCTACCTGCGCAACCCATTGTTGATGTTTGTTGTGTCATCACTTGTCTGATTACGATAAGACCGATTTCACTGATTGACAGAAGCCTGTATGTTTCTTAAAGTTTTCTTTTATAAAAGCTAGATTTCAAGGATCTTGAATGTATCAAAAACTTTTTGTTGAGTTTTTGCTTTTGCATTCAAAAGCAAAACGACGAAGTTTTGACGTGACAAATTAGTAGTTAATTGTCAAACGTCATCTAAAAAAATTATACACCGGAATTTATAAAACCCAACAAAATTCTCCGTCACGAGAAAAAGTCCCTTACGATTGTAACAAGAAATGTTTTTAAATTATTAAGGCGGTTGCCGTACATGATGGCGTCTAAAAAAATTACTGTCAAACGTAGCCGGGAACCGAGCGAAAGGAGCGTGGACACTCTCCCCGACATCGCGTTAGCAGCTATAGCTTCATATAAAAAGCAAAAAGATGTGAGCGATTTTATTAACTTCCTTCTAGGGTCATTAGAGCGCAATTCGGATTGGCTCAACGGCGTCGTCAGCAAGCAAAATAACTTTAAATGTGCCTTCATGGTTGGAGCGGGTCCTAATCGCTTTCAGCTTCAAGGAGTTATTTACCCATCCCAAGAGGAGGATCTGAAAATAGAAGTCGAGCTTAAAGACTCCGAGGACCATGACAAAATTGCCATCGCAGCACTTCTGAAACTTTCCAATCAAGATATCGATAGTCTACTGAAGTATATAAAAACGCGTTTGTTTGATAACGCTTTGTTGAAGGATGATTTATTGAAAGGCAAGGCGATGGGGCTGAGTTTTGCGGTGCTCCGACCGCTTTCAGAGAGACAGTATCGGGTTATGGAAAGAATCGTCATAGGTAACCCTGTGAAATGCCCCAGTCCGGTGAAGAAGAGGCGACGAGAGGAAAAAGCATTGTTCGGACCTGCATTAAAGAAAACCAGACGGGTAGCGGGCTCGTTATTGTAAAATCATCGAAAACCATCACGGAATGAAATGGCCAGTCGTTATGGTGCACCACAGTGTCACGGAGCATGTAATGGCAGCAATTTGGAACGCTTGTAAAATGAGAACCTCATAGTAAATTATGCTCATTTTTGAAATGATCGTTTCCGATTACCTGTGATGGATGGGATGAGTTTGTGGTACAACGACACATTTTGATGAATAACCTTTTAGATTACCTTTATATTCTATTGTGCTTTTGTTCCTGGACATTTCTATAGATATATTTGTTTTAATTAATCTGGAATAAATATTTGATTGCACGACGTTTATTATCATTAATAGGAGTCTATACCATCTATACCAAATTATTTTGCGTCGGTGTTTAGAATATGTTCAAAACACCGACGCAAAATAATTTGCTTTTTTTCTGTGTTGATTCCTATAATTAACTTCAAATTTCTTCCATTGGTTAGATTTTAACTTACTTTTTCTCTATACTCATACAGCGAGCGGTCGGCTAACAGAGATCAATATCTCGGGAATCAGGGCACCCGTGCGCGAACTACTGGCTCAAATCCTTCCACCAATAACTTATAACAATAGCATCAGATGCTAACATACTGATAAGAGTGGAAGAGTTTTTTTTTTATTTGAAATGCAAAAAGGTATCGTGTGCTTCATGTTGGCTATTGTTATACCTCAATCTAAAAGTGAATTTTATAGACATACATTAAAAAAAAATGTTGTATTCGAATGATTGTTCTTGGACTCGATATATCCCTGTGGAGTAACGTTTACATTTGTACAATTGATATAGGTCAAAATGTAATTTGCTAGAGTCCCTCAGGATTCATTCACTGTAATTTCGGTTGACATTACTGATGAAGTTATTACAGATTAGAATATCTTAATAAGTCATTTCCGTATATTTTTCGGCTATATAATTTTCGGGAATTATATTTTGAGGGTTAAGGGTGTGCACATATACTTTGAACTGATTTGTATAACAAATATAATATAAAAAAATTGAAAATTTCTCAATAGAAAATAATCACGGAATCCCAAGAATTTATCTTTTTTTTTTTTCATTTCATGTATTATACTTTTATTTTTATAAAATGTTAAATATGGGTCACTTTTTAGCCGAAGATTTCACTAAGCACATACAGATATTTCGAGAAATTAATTGAAAACACTTTCATCCTCTGTCTCTGTTGATTGATACGTTGTTTTTGTCTCGTTTTCTCTTTTGTCTGATCGTCCAGCCTTAATAAATAACATAATTTAGACGTAACCTTCTGAACATCACGTCACTCAGATATATGCTGACAAAGTTGTATTATAAAGTAAAATGTTATCATTGGCTTTACTAATCTAATGCTGACCTTTTTTGGGTCTGTGCAAATTTGACGGAAGATTCGTCAAGCTTCTCACAGAAGGTCGAAGCTTCAAGCTGCAAGGTCGTGTGATATATATTTAATTTATCAGTACTAACTTGAGCAGTGATAAGCGCCGTGGCGTGCCTCTTTAGGGGTCGAAATATTGTCTAAAAATATGTATTATTTAGGCTTAAGCCTAGTTGTAGTAGTATATCTATCTTTGAATAACATATTCTACCATGGTTTACTCTCATTCCTCACTATTGAAACCTCCACGATCTGCTTATCGGCGGGTATAAATCAATTTGAATCATGGCAGAGGCCGAGTGTAAGTTGGGTCCCTCCTGAGCCCTTTTTCTAACTTGGGACCACCAGTCGGATTAAGGGACCGCTGCTGCCCGTTACGTAATTGGCGTAATAGTTGTCTGATTTATTAGCTTTATGAAATTTACGGTGTGTCCGAGATATTTTTATTATATTTGCATTAAGTGGTTTCGTCATATATTATGCAGTATTTATTCTAAGTTTCTTTACTTTCTGCCTAATTGCAGGTATAAGAATATCACGACTTCTTTACACTGTTTTCCTGGTTTAAAAATAGACTTTTATATTGCTTAGGGGATAAACTAAGATAAATAAAAGAAAAGCTAAATTATTTTACTGAGTTAATGAGGAGATGGAGGGATTTTTTTATGAAAGCATCCTTTGTTAATGACTATTTCCCAATCGTCGAAATTAAATCATAAAGTTTGAACATTCTTGATGTTTGTTTTATTGTAAACAATCTTTCCGCCAGCGATTTCGCTCGCGTGGTCCCCAGTTTATTTGCATATTTGTATGTAGTACTGTATTGATATATATCATGACACAGATAAAATTACAATGAAAAATTAACCAATGGTTACTATGGTAACGTTTTAATTCCCTATGAAAAGTTTCACTCCATTTTGATTCCTTTATTTGACGTTTTTCGGGATAAAATATAGTTTCGAGCCTATTCGTTGAAAAACAAACTATTAAATCTTTCCTCTTTATAATATTAGTATAGGAGACTATACTTCTTTATTACATTTTTAAGGATTATTATTAAATAATGTTAGCATTCTTCACTTTTCATCTGCTTTTCATTATAATCCGCCCAATTTATAAAAAGGCATCCAAAGTTTTCACTTTACGTAAAATAATGATTAGTTAGGTATTTATTAATGTCAAAGTAATTAAAAAAACCTTCAACGCAAAAATCGATAAATATATATCTAACTGTATCGATCTTGACTTACGTAAAATAATTGCAGAAAATAATAGTTTGGTGAATTGTAACGTTGTAAAACAAAATGTAACACTTTCTTCTAGATCAAGAGCTAACTTAATGCACCATTGTTATTGTTGTAAGTATTTCTCTTGCCACCTCGGGGACGATATATTTTATTCCGCACCTTGTCACCGCTCTCACGTATAGCCTTGAGAATTCTGCTTTCGTACTGTATGTTATCTGAAAATGATGCATCGTCTTGTTCCCTTTCCACTACAAAAAATATCAGAATGTTCTTATTATTTCGCACATTCAATTGTACAGTAAGAGATGTGCTGAATAAATAGTAAGCCAACTTAAATTCCCAGACGGACGGACCCGAGCTGCCTCGGATTCTGACCACGGTCCAGATTTAATTTACATCTGCAAATCGCCGAAACATTCCGCCTTCTTTGAAATATCGAACATTTTTCTCGACAAATTATTGGGCGTTCGTAGTTCTCTTATGCTTTACGGAAAACACGAAAAAGCCGTTTAGCAATTTTACGTTTCAGCGGCATATTAAGTTTATGTTGAAAATATAAAAGAAGCGTTGTGTAGAAAACTGTGCAACATTATGAATTCACTCTTGAATCTTTGAAAACGTAAGAGCTTGTATAATATTAAAGGAAACCCGCAAAGTTTAACGTCGAACATCCCGTTGACTTAATATAAAACGCCTCTGAAAAGAAAGTACGAAATTGTGTAACGAGGTTATAACAATTTTACAAGAACAAATAAATGCATCTACGATGCCAGCGAACATAAAGAACCTTCATAAAATGAAACTGCTTTTAGGGTTAAATTTTTATTTTAAACATAGGAAGGGATTTGATGGCCCTCCCACGTCGTGAAATCCCGTTATCTTTAGATTTAGAGTTAGGGCAATAATAATACTCAGTGGGAATGTTGATTCAAAGTGCCATCCACTCCGCGAACGTACGAATGTATCATATCTTTGATTTACTAGTGACATTACCCTAAATTATTACCGGCGACTTTAATAACGCACGAATAGATTTGTATAACGAGCAGCGGTGGTTTGTTTCTGCATTCCAAGTCTGGAAACGATATAATACAAACCATGGAGTTTATTGATTGATGAAACATTTGCGGGAGACTTCTAAAATTATGTCACAAATAGTATCACTGGTCTCATCTAATTGATGAATATTGTATTTGCGTTAAAAGTAATTTTGTTATGATCCACACACATGCTTATTATTATAATGAGGAAAGCATGAGATACGGCAGTCGATTCACTTAATTACCAGTTCGTCCCCGAACCCTCGTTTAACTTTCCATCCCTTAGAATTTTCATAACGGCAGTTGTTTAGTAAATAAGTCAGGGTAATGCTCCCACTGTGCCACCTTGCCTAAATAAATCGCCCATTCGATTGAGATTAACTCCTGTGTAATGTTTATTTAAGAAGGTTATTAATGTGGAATATCTCTTTATTTCATAACGTTCCTTATTTCATTCACACTATTAGTTTTTAATTTTTACATGGTGTTACTATCTTTGATATTTACCTGGACATCAATCGAGATATATATCATATATCAGAACTCCAACCGTCCAGCTACAAGTTGCCGAATACCCTCTTAAAAGCAGGCAATATGTCACTTCATCTAGCACAAGCAATTCTTTGACCCTTACCTGTCCACCTGCTTCCAATGTTGCGTCAACGGGGCTTTCAGTGTGATGGAAAACAATTGAATGTTAAGTCTCCTTTTTAGCTCCTCATATTTTGATATAATAAATTGCAGAAGGTCAACGTTTAACGTAACGCATTTATTGAATTGTTAATAAGCTTGAAGTAACCTCAGTTCGACATTTTATGCAGATTTAGCCTCAAACAACAAACATCGCATGAGGACTGCTAATCTAATAGTTCGAGCCTTTTCCTTAATTGTATTTCTATTTAAATGCTATAGAGCATTTTGAAAATAAGATGAATTTACATCTAACACAATATATCTGTCATACAGTGAGTATAAAAATCCCTGTTACAAAAGTTTGGTACCAACAAATTTGTAAGCGAAATCTTTTCCTAAAAAAATCGGCAATTTCGTCCTGAAACCCTTTCCCATTTTTTGATAAACGAGTTGCTTGATCGAACCGCTGTCCGAGGGTGCCTTTCAGTTTTGATAATATCTCGTCACAGGACAAATTTGTGTGTTATGGAGGCTTAAACGGGCCCGGATAAAATTTCCCGTTCTTGACAGAAGATGGACGAAGGTACATACATTTATTTACGCTACATAAATCAGATGAACAGTATGAACCGAAGTCTCAAAATTCTAATGTCACCTGTAATTTATTTGCGAGATTTAAAGAAAATTCGTCC